GCAAGAAATACCTTTGTTGAATTCTCAATTCACTGAAGCCAATGGGCACTATATCAGATACATTTCGTTTTTTTTGTTTGGAACACCCAAAATGTAGACGGAGGCTTGACTTCACTGGGATGAGGGAACCCGTTTGAAACTGTGAATGTGATGTTAATCTGTTTGACCGACTGCACACCGAAGGTCCAGACTATCCAAAACGTGCACATAAAGTGCCTTCTGCCGTTTGGTGTTGTGCCAGCAAGTTGATCGATTCTTTAGATAGAAACTGTTGTTAAGTTACAGAGTGTTCTCTCCTGCCACTTGCCGATCTTTGGCGAACGAATATGCGGACAGCTTTGACATTGTGGCGGTCGATGACGGATGTTTGTCGTCGGATGTTGTTTCAGAGGGAAAGAAGAATTCGTTCCTTCGAAGTGTGTGTCCATTAAATAGCATGTGCTTCTGTGATCGATTTCCATGACAAGCTGTTGAAACGCTGTCCTTGGCTAAGGGTATGATAGCTTCTAGCAGAAAATTAAATCTATTATGTGATGAGCATAGAGATGGATTTTGAATGCATGCATGTACACAGGAGCTTCTTTTATCGCTGTTGGATTTCGTGCTGCAATCCAGTCCGTTCCTCCTTTGAGCAGCTCCATTGAATGGAACCAACTCTGAAAGTGCAGATGAAATTGTACTTCAAAAAAAACGTACTCCTTTTCCGACTAGCAAAATGAGGGTATTGACTCAGAGTTCCACATATCGAAACGACAGAAGAAGAAATTTGAAGTTTCCACTATTATTTGTGATCATTCCTTTGATTATGTTTACATTTTATTTCTAATCTTCAGAAAGAAAATGTGTCGACTAAATAAATGGGATCTGCAGCACGGAGCCTGGAAAACGGAGAATTTGTGATTTGGGCTTCTTAGTCAGCGGTAGTACCCGAGAAAGCTTATAAAGAGCTACATCAGCTTTTGGATTGGCAGGATAACCTTTGAACAATGAGATTTTCTTAGTTTTCTTTCTGGAGTTTTCGATACTCATCAAATATCAAACGTCTATTCACTAAAGAGGACACCAATCTTCTGTCATCCTCTAAGCAAATTGACGCCCGTTGCGCAGCAGCCAGAAAACTGTTCCAACTGTTGCCAGAAAAAAATTCAGGAATGCTGTTTTTAGAATATTGTGAGTCACGAACCCCTTTCTCACACCTAGAGCACTCAAACAAATGGTGATGATAAGGAGCAACGTCTAGAGGGTATGGTGTATAAGCAACCTGGAAAGAGAGCACCAAATAACACTTTTATGTATTGCCGAGGAAAAATTTCGACTTGCGTTGTCGCACTATCAGACATTTCCATCTAACTACGTTGGTGAAGAGGTGGGGTTGATAGGTGCAAAGGATAGCTGTGACTATCTCACATGCTTCCAGCAACTGTTGACCGTTGTGTGGTAAACAGTGCCTTCAGCGATTGCGTTGCCACTTCTTTCGCGCTTCTCACAAGATGATGGTGAAAAGAAGTAATCTCCATGGTCGCCTTTTTTGAAACCTGGGCATTTTCACTTTTATTAGTCAATGCTTCTGTGCCATACAGGTTTTAGTCGAAACGTCAGGCAAATATTCCACCATTAAAAACCTGTATGGCACAAAGCATTGACTAATATTGTGAAAAGGATTGTTTAGTTACTGATATTCGCTAAAGTTTACGGGTGTGTCTTTGCCTACCCAAGTGTTGATTACCCAGAGAATATTGTGATGAATTTCACCCTATTTTAATGCTTTTGTGATAATAACAACGGGGGATCGCTTCACTGATTATATTCTCACCGAAACGCTACCTCATTCCAAACATATCGAAGTGAAAAATGAGGGAATGTGTTTTTCCGGGTGCTATCGATTAATACTGAACCGATGTTCTCTCAAAACAACGAAACAGTACATCCTGAAATGTTGTTGCCTTCTGGATTCGAAAAGCTACCACTCTAGGTCAGTTTTCGACGCTGTACTCAGATGAACTTCAGGGGCTTAATCTGCCCTGAGATCAGGTTGTTTAGAACAGGGCAAATATGATAATCATGCGTTCCTTAACCATGGAAGGACCACAATACAGTACGGCGGTTGGGGAGATTCGAATCTCTAATAAATGATATTATAGCAATCTACTGTGTATACAAATCCTTCAGTCTGTATTGTTCGAAAATTTCTTGAAAATTAGAACACTAGTGCAGACTCTAGCCTGGCATCAAGCACTACGATACTTATTTAGATTCATAGCAGCAAATCGAACAGAAGTTACATCGCTAAGCGTTCGCTGAAGAGTGCTATTTAATCTCAAAAGAATCGGTTTACGACCTTCATATCAATTTCCTTCTTTCACACCATTATCCCCCTTTCATAGTGTATAAATAGCTACGGAGCATGCTGCCTGCTCATTTCGGTTAGTGATGGAAGTCTTATCATCTATTACATGTTGACGGTGGAGGCTTCAACACAACCAAATGATCTAGTTTCCAAGCGTTCACGACAATGTCATGTTCCGACCTGCGCCTATCCTCTTGAATGCTGTCCGTCGTTGATCACCTCGAAGAGGAAGTCGTCAGAGGCTTTTTTCATATGATCCTCAATTCATGATCCTTCCGTTGTAAAGGCGTACGATAGCACAAAATGTATTGCTCTTTAACAGTAAAGATTATAATTAGAATTATGATGCTTCTCTTTCACTATAAATCATGATTATGAGGTCAATCGAACTTTGCACAGTACCATTGCATCATCGTTGCGCGTGACAACAAATTTCAGAACCGTTGCTAAACTTACTAAACTCAAAAATTACGTGGCGTTTTTCTCTCACCTTGGTAATAGCCGAGCAATCTTTAGAACTGAGATCCAGACTGTTCTACTTATAACTCGAGCGGGCTCACTCAGTTTACCAAATCAGCGTTTCAGAACACCATCAATGGATGCTAGAACTACGAGCTTCAAAATATAAAATTACGTTTCGAATCATGTTGCGAATGGTTCCGAGTCAACCTGCCATTCTTCATGGATATAGTACACTTTCTTAAAAAAGTATTATCGAAATATGGCACACTGTGTCCGAGAATTTTATCGTGGTAATTAATTGGTTCGCAAAGATGCATCAAACTCGCACACACTTAGTTTCATCAGTGATTTGGTATGAACTTCAACAGCACGGTGCATTCGAAGCTTGTCTACGGGAAAATTGAAATCTTTTCACCGGCATCGATAGTTCCAAATAAATCAAGCATTTAATGGTACATGAATTGAAAGCCTTCTGACAGTGTCCGAACCCTTCTCGAACTCTTTCCGAATGTTGTTCATAATAGAAGTTTGGGTAAGCACTTAGAGTGGAAAATCTATCATTTTCTTAGAAATCCTGAACAAAACAGAATGCCCAATAGAGATGAGGCGAAATCGCTAAAGACTGAAATCAAAGTACAGTTTCGACCACCTTCGCGAGGGCAGACTTGGATATGTCAGAATAGATTCTGTGAAAAAGTTGATTGAATAGCAACTTTCATCAGTTCGACTTGATTAACAGGAGGGCCTTCTCTGGAAAATTGAAGCAAAAAAATGTGGAAGGAGCAACTACTTCCCCCCGAATCACAGAACTATGTAAAAACTAATAGGGCAGCTAATCAAGAAATGAAGCAGCAGAAGGCAGAATTGAGTTTTCTGCACCCCAAACTTCTTCCTTGGTGATGGGCATTATGTATTCAACTATAGACCCTTTTACTTGTTTGAAGGGCGTTTACTAATTCCTTTCCCTTGACCTTTTCTTTGTCCAAAGGCTCTATTTTCGAGAACGCTTCTATATTTAAAAAATATACCGGGATAATTCTAGAATTAGCTGTGGAGGTCAAAGCATTCTAATTATTCCCACTGAAAAGAAAACGATAACCTGTGAACATGATTATCTGGAAGATTCACTCGAAGAATTCGAACTGAAAATGTTGGAGAGTTTCTAAGAAAGCACTAAGTGACTTCTCAACCCGTCCCGAATTCATTTCAGACCCTGCTCATTGTTTCCAGGCCACATTGGAGGGGGTTGCTTTTCGATACAGTTGTGATGGGCCACCTTTACTAGCGAGCCTCCCCAAACACTTTAGCTGTTCTAGGAGAGTAAAATCGAAGTGTTCCATGACTTCAAAGACTTTTCTTCAGCTTTCCATGATCGGTTCCAACACGATCTATCTTTGCTAAGAAGGGCAATTAGAAGACAAGAGAAGATTGCAGAGACAGAAAAACTCAAATCAGCATCTAATCGTTTTTGTATAGGCAACCACGATCACTACACTTATAGTGATTCACTGCTTGAGTAGAAGGATGCATAGTACCTCAATCGATAGAGGAGCCTTTTTATAGGATCTTATAGGAATATGCCGAGAGATTATATCACTGAGCAAACTGTCTTCTTGTGTTCTATTCTTGAGTTGAATATCATTCAATTGAGAGAGCGGATTACTTCCGGAGCAGGAGTGAATTGTGTATTTATAAAGATACTCCATTCCGGCAAAGGATTACGAAAGCAAAAAATCTCCTAAGCTGATTTCTGCGCTTCTAAGAATTTCCAACTCCCTCTCTCCCAATTTACCCAGCTTATCAGAGACCGTCATGGTCAAATGCTTTGTTAACATCGAAAGCAAAGGATAAAAAAATGAAAACGAGTTCTTCTCTGTTCTTCATTAGGCTACCTAACTCGCTATCGCATGGCTGCGGTATAGTCGCTAGCGGGTTAACAGGGCTGATGGAAAAAGACATAACGGGAAGGTCGAAGCGAGTTTCGCCCAAAAGCTTCTTCTGTAATGTGTCAGAACACACCGGGTACGACAGATTCACAAGAAGCTTGCTACGTCAACTGCCATCGTTCTATCACTGCGCAACTTTTTCGACTAGGCACTGCGTACATCGTTATGACTGAAACGGATGCGTCATTTGGTTACGCCTCTCACATTATAAAAGCTAGACGCAAGCCATCGTCAAGCGACCTACGATGGGCGACGACGACAAGTGCGACAAGGCGGCGTTGGCCGCGAGTCAGAAGCAATTCGCCTTCATCGGCATTGCCGTATCCACCATCGCCACACTGACCGCAATTATCGCCGTGCCCATGCTCTGTATGCACATGCACACTGTACATTCGGGTATTCAAGAAGAACTCGCCTTTTGCCGTTCAAAAACCACTGGACTGCAAGCCGAATTCAACAAGGTACGTTTCTTCTGATTTTTTTCAGAATTGCTGACAGCGCAAGTTCTACGATGAGTGACCAATCACGTATTCCGAAAGCGTACTGACTCTACCCTCCGAAGTGAATTGACTCCTCAATGGAATCCTCCATTTCGTTTCATTTTTGGAAGTCTACTATATAAGAACTCTTTTATATTTTTGGAGTAATACTCTTCATTTCTAAAATATTCGTTTCATTTCTGGAACATGCTTTTTGGTCTGAAATTGCAATGTAATAATACAGAATAGTAACCATAGAACTTATTAGCAAAATTGTACGTGGGCTTCCGTTACCTACGCTTTTTTGGAGAGTCACGCATTAGCTGAGATTATGAGGTACAAGAAAGAAAAGCAGAAGAGAAATAGTGCTACCAGTTCTGAGTGACTTTACAAGAGACCGAGGACTTTCGGCTGTAATCGGTCAGCCGTGAACTGGGAATGGTGACCTCCTTTTCGAGAAACATCAGCTAGAAGGAAACACATTATTTTATAAAACGGTACCAGATCCTTAGTCGCAATTATGCCAGTTCGACTAGATATTACGGCAGCCATATATAGAGCATTTAGGTCTACGATGTGGGAAATTGAAGTCACTTAAAGGGGTTACACGAATTCGAAGTTTTAGAGATTTCCGAAAATGATATGGCTCATGTAGGCTTCGATTAACAGCATAATCCCTACTTCCATTTCAGTTAGAAGGTATCCGCAGCCAAGCGCTCCGTGCAAAACGTCAATATCCTGAGCTATGTTGTTCTTGCGGCATCGGTGAAAACGGGCCTCCTGGACCTCCTGGTGAACCCGGAGAACCAGGTGAGGACGGCCACCCTGGAAAGCCAGGCCCTCCAGGTGCGGACGCGCCGAAACACAATGCTATTCCAAAACGAGAAGATTATTGCTTCGATTGCCTGCCATCAGCAGCTGGACCTCCAGGTGTCCCTGGACCGATGGGACCACCAGGACCGCAAGGAAGCATTGGAGAGGTAGAAATCTGAATCTGAATCTTTCTGTGATAATCCAAGAATGCGAGAGTTTCATTTCTACTTCAGGCTGGACCACCTGGACCTGCTGGTCATCAAGGACCACCAGGACCACGAGGACCTCCCGGAAAGGATGGCGAAGACGGTGAAGCTGGTCCACCTGGGCAACCCGGAACAGTCCGTAGTTTACCTTCACCCCAGGGAGAAGTGGGTGAGATGGGTGAGGTAGGCCCACCAGGTCCCCCAGGTCCAGATGGTCGTCCTGGTATCAATGGACGACCAGGACAACCAGGAGAGCAGGGAGAACCTGGAATGGATGCTCCAAATGGTAAAGACGGTGAGCCTGGTCCACGCGGTCCACCAGGACAAGATGGCTTGAAAGGCTCCTGTGATCATTGCGCTCCTCCACGTACTCCTCCTGGTTACTAATCATTTGAAGGACAGAAAACAATCAACAAGCTTTGGATCCTCACTTTTCTCAGCGGAAACATAGAGAGTGTGTTGAGCGAGTTTTCTTGTTACAAACAACTATGGTGTTTCAATTGTAAAATCCTGCCCGTTTCTCGAAAAGAGTGTTGCGTCAATTGTTGTTGAAAATGAAAATTGCTTCAAATAAATTTTTAATTGCGATATTAATCTAAACAGTATTAAATTTTGACAAAGTTTCAGGAAAATGGTTTGCCTGAATTTGAATTGAATTTGTTACAAATTTCTTATGGATTCCATTTAGTGAAGGAATTGTTGCTTAGTGATCTGAAAATTCAAACTGGCCTACTATGAATTTTTTTCTTGCGCACTATATCCACAAAAAACAGCTGAGTTTCGACCATCAGTTTAAATTTCAAATTTATGATGGGTAGAATGATACCGAAAACCGATTTAAAACCCTACTGTCGTTGGAGAAGTGGTGAGAATACGCTTTTTCAAAGGCGGAGGTCACAGTGGGAAGAAGCTTTTTTACACGATGCAAAGGGCAAGATTCCACTCATTCCTGTGGTAACAATGAAAACATCGCAGAAGCCTTGACAAAGTCAAAAAGGGTGGCTGGTTCCAGAATGACGCTAGTAAAGAAAAGATGTAAAACAATAAGATTAGCAAAGAATATGAAACAAGTTCTGAAGGTTACACTATATAAAACTTCTCTCATTCTGATGTTGCGGTTTACTACTCGCCATTCACTTATAAATGGTTCAGGAGGAATTGTTGCACGATAGTTATTTGGAGCAGGTTGAACTGAATAGTCGCGATTGTTGTGAACTCCAATCACACACTATACGTTATAGGAAATTCGTTATTATCCCATGCATAGCTAATGTGACACAATGGCCTCTCTTCTGTCTAAAAAGCACTCCTATTGCTTCAGGCAGCCTTCCAGAAGGAAGTTCGAACCTTGCTTACAAACAAAAATATAGTATTGGCATCGGCCGAAGTGGAATGGCAATGGAAGGGTATTAAACTAGTTCGGGTATAGATTTTCTGAGTTTGCGTATAGATGTCATGCCATTCAAATGGCGATGTGAGTGTATCGTTTGATATGACAGATAAATTTTAGGCGTTCTTAATCAGTGCGCAAAGTGTAATGCTACACATTTTTATGAATATGCGGGCTGCTAATAAAGAGCCATAGAATACGAGAGCCACTAAAACTGTAACACCCTTCTCGTTGACCTTCTTACTCTGTTGGCTGATGTGGGATGGGAAGAGACCGTATAGGATTCAATTCGGTGGTGACAAAGTCGAAGAAGTTTGGTGCCAGGATCAAATACGTAGGCTGCCTTTTATATTTCGGGATTTGAGAACAGGAACAAATACTATTTATTGAAAATTGCTTGACTGCCTTTCAGAATTCTCCACATTGAGATCTATACACTTTTGTATGGGCTCGAACCAATTTTCGA